TCTGACGTTTTTCCCTGCTTCTTCCTAAAGTGACAGTGTTCTCTGGTTTTTCTTTGTCACTAAGCGGTACATCCCCTTCTCACATCAAATCTAGTTTAAAACTCCAGTGATAAGCCCAGCCAGCTTGCTGCCCAGTATGTTCTTGCCCCTCCTGATCAGTTGTGTCCCTCCCAACACATCCAGTGGGAAAGAGCCAAGGAAGAAAACATCAAGTAGCTATGGCTCTACCATAACTCAGTTCCAGTTTTCCCAATTCTTTGATGCGCGAAATCTCGTAAATTCTGACAACTTTAATTTATTCATTCATTAGTTAATGGTGTGTTCAAGCATTGAAACCTGCATGCTTGGCAAGAGGTTACAATGTAGATTTATCATTTTTGAAGGTTAACCAATGGGCTCTTAGGAAGTTCTGTCTTTCCACAAAACACCAGGTGACAATCCAAAATGTATCCTGCAGGCTGAGAAAATAAATGTCAATATGGTTGGAGTAAATGGAGTGTCAAGCTGGGCTTACTGACTACTCCTCTCTTACAGACCTATTTCCAAATATTCTGAAGGAAAGGAGAGTGGCAGTTTGCTTACTACAGAGTAGAAGACCAAGCAGTATCACAAGCACCAAACACCTCTGGTGAAGTACTAGCTCTGCTGCATGCCACAGAAATGACAAATGAAAAAGTTTTGAGTTGTTCTTCACTGTTAGGCAAAAAGATGCTTCCTTGTGGTCAGGGATAGTGACAACGCATGAGACAGTAATGGCCAAGAACCAGTGCTGTTAGAGCAAATGCTAGCAAAAATGTTACAATTCCCCATATTCTAACTTTCTTTCTTAGCTCTTGACAAGATCAGGGCCACTTCTTCTCTCAGCTTCTAGAACAGATTCAGTTATTTCTCAGTACTGAAAATCATCTCAAGCAGAAAGAATTAATTTTCTTTGCAGTATTCGTCTACTAAGGCCTTAGTTTCTCACTAAGAATATATATTGTTTAAAGCTGGATGTATAATCTCTCCTATAAAATGATAGTACTTACAATATTTCGACCATCTGTTTGACATATTTCTCTACTGTGTACTTCTAAATGGACCCTAATGAGAAAAAAGACTTCTTCAAAACTCTACAGTTCTTTCAGTAATTTCTGGCACAGAAATAGACACACATACAAGAAAAATCTCAAATAGTAACAAACTTTGAAAGAAAAAAAAATTCAGACCTAAAGTTAACTTTATAAGTCAAAGTAACAATGCAGGACAAGGTGACCAAATCTACTATATTCTATGAACAGTCTAGAAAGTACACAGCTGAAGGTCCTCCCTCTTCAGGTCTTCAACCTACTAAGCCTCTTCAGCTGACTCTTTCTCTGCAACAGAATCACTGTCACAAAAAAAAATTCTTGCAATTATTTGATAGGCCTCACTGGCAGGCATTGTTTATTTTTTTCTTTTGATCAGAGGTTAAGTAGTTGTGTTCTCTGGAAATAAAATCATCTCAGTAAGTGTCAGAAAACAGTTTGTGCGGCTGAAACCTTGCTAGATATAAGAACAGACTAACATGAATTACTAGAATAGGTTTTCTACATTCCCTATTTTCCCTATATTCCCCACATATACAATAGCATTTATGGTATGATTTACCAAGCAACATCATCATGGCATTGCAGGGACAAATTCAGTCCATGATGAAAATCTAGAATATAGTCTGTAGGTGTTTTTCAAACGGGAGAAATGACAACACAAGCATTCAGATTATCTTGGCCATAGTGATAGCAAAATAGGCTCTCCTCAGTATTCTGAAACACTAACAGAACTGGAATTTTAGCTCGTTCTTTTTGTTCATCTGTTTTGTGTTCTGTTGTTTCTTTGGGTTGGTTTTTTTTTTTTTTTTTTTTTTCAAAAAAAAAAATTATCTGTAATCTTTTTTTTTTTTTTACTAAGATGTAATAATATATAGTTCAACACACCAAAGTTTAAGCATTTCAGATTTTTTTTTAATTAATCAGTTCAATCTCTTATAGTTTATCACTGCAAAAGCTTGAAACTCTAATGATAACTGAGGTAAATTCGTGATCTGAAAATTCATGGAGATTCCATCAAAGGCAGTTATGAGACAGTGAAAAAAATGAGGAGAGATTTTGAAAAGAAGCAAAGTTATGTTGGTAGCTTTTGCCTGCAATTTTAGAAACTATAGATAAGAGTTACACGAAGAGAGAAAAACCTCTTCTTCAGATTTGTTTGTGCAGACCAGACACAAATCTGACACACTCAAAATTCTATTTAAGCCTCCACTTAAAGAGAGAACTTGAATACAGCATCAGAGCAATCAATTTACTGGGCCAATAATTTTGACACAGACACACCTGCACAGAAGGTAAACTGTTTCCAAGCTTTATGGACAATACTAACTTCATCAAATAACCCCACACTCTAAAATGATATAATATATCTCTGAATTAAAAACAATGTTATGAGCACTGTTACCTTGTACAAGTTGTACGACTTTATTCATGAAAATGCTGAAGCTGTTCCTGATATCATACCTATATTGTGTTTTCCTATTTTCGCTTGTCATTGAAAGTATGTAACATCAACAGACCCTATGAGCCTACAAAGCTCTGAACAATGCAGTTTTTAATTGATCTTACTGAAAACAGGAGTTTGGTCCAGAGAATTCCAGAGAGGCCTTCAACATGAATTATTACACGCTCACATAAAAGTACATAAATTATACTAAACTTAGAAGATTAAAACAAAAATGAAAATATTAGAATATATCCATGCCCCAAGACAAAACTGCCCTTTCTACAGTACAGCTCAATGGATAAATCATAAAGGAAATCATAATCACAAAGGAAAGTCTACTAAGTGCAAGCTCACCAAATACACTTACAATTCATAGCATTTCCTTTAAAAAGTAATCTAAGTTACATCTTTTCCTGCAAGAAAACTGGAAGGATTGAAATTAACCCTTTATTGAGATATAGTAGTAGCCATATCTCATATTCCAGACAGAGGTCAAATAAGTTTACCAGGAAAAGTCATGTAGCTTCAATATTAGCAGTGCCATAGCAGCTGTTAAGGGGGATTGCTGTGGCAAACATCAACACTGCCCACCAATTTCTTATTCTAGTGCAGAAAATTAGTCCAGGGACACACAGTATCCCTCTATTTACCTGTGTAATTGCAGGCAATGACAACTTCTTCCAACACCAAGAAGTACATGAGGAGATCAAATGGAGAGGATACAGTCATAGACTAGCATACTTCTTATAGGGATCAACTTGTACTAGCATACTTCTTATAGGGATCAACTTGTAAGGTTGATAGAAGCAATGAATACCTGTGCTCAACTGTCATCAAACAGTAAGTGACAAGCCAGCTTTTTAGAAGAAGAAACAATTACGGTAATCACACACAGTATCCTCAAACAGCTGAAGTCACAAGGCATAAATGTTAGGTCATCTTTATCCTTAACAGCTTTTTGGAAGAAAAATCTTGAAAAACTTAAATACACTGTTGCACAAGCAGTGCAAAGAAGATAAGAGAGGCTGCTTGTTCACTAAAAGGTTCTAGAGAAGTAGTCTCTGCAGCTAGCCTATCTCAACAACTCAATATTGAAATTTATTGGTACACAGCCCTTATTTCTCTCACATTTTTCACTGAAGAAATGTATTATTTTCAGATAACGTCCCTTGTTCACTGAGCTTGGTTAACTTCAGTTCACTACCTAAGGTTACAGCTGTCTCTCTATAAGAAGTGTCTCAGAAAGTGCATGAAGTACCATGAGTTTGTCAACAGCAGTTTTTCTTTACGGAATTTCACAGAAGAAACAACTGAGAAATACTTTTCCATTTCTGCCAAGGTTTTTACTTATATGAAACATAGATTTATCCCAGTCAGATTTCTACGTCTCCCTCCATTTCGTACACATGGCACAGGTAACCTGAGCTAGCCTTTCAGAGAATTGTCATTTATCAGACACCAACATTAGTTCATTACCTCTCCTAACAGTTCAACAACAACTCTGCACAAAGATCATCAGGTCCTGAGATGAGCAAGATTTAACTTTGAAATTAACCCTGTTTTAAGCAGGAGGTTTGGTCCAGAGAACTCCAGCTCTTTCTCATCTAAATAATTTTGCTGTGCAATTGAGAAAAGTTTTTCACAAAGTTCTTCATGAAGTCTTAGGGCCAATAATATTCCACTATTCTGCTTGGATGATGCTTGGAAACACAGTGATGGCAGACAATTATATGAATATCAGTATACATAGGTTGCTCTGAAAGTAATGTCTCCTACTTATTTTCATGCAAATGATAACAACTACAAAGAGCACAAGAATACTGTTTCATAGAACAAATTCTTACTCACCAAATGCTAACTTTCAACAAAGTCACCACCATTAGCTGTGCATTTTCACCATCACTGAACAACAGCCTGCACACTGTGCTGATGAAAATCTACACCAGCAGAAGTGACACATTATGGTTGTCACCACTGCTGAAATGCACCACCCACCGCCTCCCTGTGCTCACATTCACTGTTTGGTCTCCATAATCGTTCAGTCAGTATTGGTGAACGTCAGTGTGTGCCATTCTACTGCATGGAGCAATTCAGTGACACGACTTTGTTTCCCCTGCACTCCCATGTCAGACGGCATTTTGTCAGACTGCCCCTCTGCTGCCATCTTTCCCCATGGCAACAACATGTAGTGGAATATTGGTGAGAAGGTTCAATCTCTATCTCCATACCATCACCTTGTGCCTCTGACTTCATAGGCCAACATGACATAAAAGATAGCAAGCATTACTTTTGGAGCAGCCCCTGTATGTTGATATACATAATTATGAAGATATTAAAGTCTGAATTTATGATAGTAATGATTATCTGTATTTCATGGTACTTGACAGTTAAACAGGCTCCCAAATAGCATTTTCCCTTACAAAGAAAAAAAAAAAGCATTCGAAGACAGCAATGAAAGTCACAAATACAAAAAAATCTGCACTTACAGTTCTATTGCTTTGTTCCACATGATAACATATCCAGAAAGAATGAAGGACTCGATATTTACAATGTGTGTATTTCCCCGCTCTGTTCCAACATAAAGCCATTTACTCTGGAAAGGTAGATGGCAGTAAGTAATTCTGCAAAGGAAAAACAGAACAAACAACAAAAAAAAACTGACTGAACACCATATCAACAAATTTTTAAACACTTTTATAGAGAAAATAACTTTTCTTTCCATTTTAAAACTTAAAGAAAGAATAGCAGGCACAGCATTCTGAAGAATGTCCAGTTTTGGACATCCTCTGCAGAAAAATCATAAAAGATAACCTGAAACAAAACAGGGCCATACTATCCAGTTTTATTAAGAATGGGGTAAAAATGTCATATCACTTGACCATCATTCATACAAGAAAATGTTCACTTCAGTGGCTGTCCAGGAGAACAGGGCACTAGATAATAGCAACACTGAGTGCAGTTAAACACTACATCACAGACAACTGAATCCTATGTTTGTATCATTCCCACAGGGTGATGAGCCAGTAACACATTAGCTTGGAAAACATCAAGGCAGTTTCACATGATAATATATACAGAAATTTTCAGTTTACATTGAATCAATAGATTCAGGCTCCTTTCATTATTATAGTTATTATACAAATATTGCATATATGCAAGCAAAAAAAAAATATAGGAGATGTAAAACCATCTGCTGCTAAAATGCTATCTAGATAGGCTGAAACTTTATCTGATCTGGTGATACAGCCTCAATAATTTTGAGAAAAAGCGATTATTTAGCCTGCTATGCCATACGTTACTATATTTAGCATTTGATTCCACAATCAGGCTATTTCAGCTTTTATATATAAGCATGATGTAATCACTATGCAATAATTTTTGTTCCTAACATCTCCCTTCCCCATAAACAAACAGCATTCAAGACAACAAATATTTCAATTTCTTATTCTTATGCTAGAACAATCTGAATTCATTACAAAGGAATGAGATGGAAATCTTGTTTTCTTGATTCAAGTGAGACTCAAGTATGATATAAACGTTGTTCTCTCCATTTGCACAAGGCTATATTTTCTCATTACTCACCTAATTTTGGCAATAATTCCACAGCCTTTAGTTGGGAACAAACCAAGTTTTTCAAGAGAATTGATTTGGGAGTGAGAACTACCGTTCAATGCGCATAAATGAAAATACTTTCAAGGAGAAACTTTGTACTTACACAGTGAGCACAGTCAAATCAACAAGTATCTGACAGAAAAAAAAATGCAGGAGATTTATGCCACCAACATATCCCTTGCTAGAACCTGTTAGCTTCATTATTCTGTTCATAAAAGATTCAAAGAGCAATCTGCTCTTTTCACTCCCTAGTTTTCCAAATGTTAAGCTTGTTTTTATGCCTCCCTGGATCCTTCAACATCTCAATTTCTGTTGCCTTTTTTTTAGCAGCATCATTTGTTATGCTTTGGTTAGATTCATACTGAGTCTGAATTTTTATCTGCTGTATTTCTATACTAGCTCTACTTCTCTTTCATGCACTCCAAAGCAGCATATGTGTGCGCTGTTAGGTTACAGCCCATGCAAAAATCTCCTAAGTTACTGGCTGAGATACTCTTCTCTTACTCACTTCATATTAATGTTCATTCAGCACTTGCTTGTAGTAAACTATTAAGTTATAAGAAAATAAAATTTGTGACTTTCAAAGTGTTGAAAATGGCTCTCTTGAGACTGAGAAATAACAAAGTGACAAAGTTACAAAGTGACTTGTAGCTGACTTGAATACTTCCAGTCCAAATTCTTGCAATCGAGTTGTCAGCCTAAGCAAGTTCGAGTCTAGGATCACAATGAATTTCAGTACTCAGATAAATCAGTTCACAAGCAAGAAGTAGTTTATGGCAGAAAACTTGATCTCGAAAGTACAAGGCTGAGTCCAATAATACAATTATGAAATATAGTCTCAAAATCACCATAGACAATGCTAGATTGCTTTGGTTTTCCTTTTAAAATTTGTTTCTATGTTATAATCTCCAGTATGTTCCGCTACAATAATCATCAAATCAAATGGGTGTCTAATGTTCCAGCTTTTGTATTACCTCCATTTGCCTATATTCCATTTAAAATTTCAAGGACATAATGTTTCAACAGCAAGATCTTGCCTGTAAAAGCAGAATCAGACTAAAGTAACCATACAATCATAGAATGGCTTGCGTTGGCAGGGACCTTTAAGATCATCTAGTTCCAACCCCATGCTATAGGCAGGGGCACCTCCCTCTGGACCAGGGGTTGCTCAAAGGCAGGGGCACCTCCCACCTGGACCAGGTTGCTCAAAGCCTCATCCAGCCTGGCCTTGAATGCTTCCAGGGAGGGGCAACCACAACATCACTGGGCAACCTGTTCCAATGTCTCACCACCTGCACAGTAAAGAATTTCTTTCTAATGTCTAGTCTAAATCTACCCTCTTCCAGTTTAGAGCCTTTTCCCCTCATCCTGTTGCTATGTGTCCTTATAAAAAGTCCCTCCCCACCTTTTGTGTAGGCCCCCTTCAGGTTCTGGAAGGCTGCTGATAAAGTCCTCCTGGAGCCTTCTCTTCACCAGGCCGAAGAACCCCACCTCTCTCAGCCTGTCATCACAGGGGAGGTGCTCCATCCCTCTGCATCTTCATGGCTCTCCTCTGGACCTGCTCCAACAGCTCCATGTCCTTCTTGTGCTGGGGGTCCCAGAATTGGACGCATTACTCCAGGTGCGGTCTCATGGGAGCAGAGGGGCAGAATCATCTCCCTCGACCTAATGGTCATGCTTCTCTTCATTCAACCCAGAATATAGTTGGCCTTCTGAGCTGCAAATACACATGTTGAGCCTTCATGAACAGAAACCCCCAAATCCTTCTCCTCTGGGATGCTCTCAAGCCATTCTGTGCCCAACCTGTATCTGCACTTGGGATTGCCCTGATTCAGGCGCAGGACCTTGCATTTGGCCTTGTTGAACTTAATGAGGTTGGCATGGGCCCACCTCTCAAACCTGTCCAAATCCCTCTGGATAGTATTCCTTCCCTCTTATGTGTCAACTGCATCACTCAGCTTGGTTTCATCTGCAAATTTGCTGAAGTGCACTCAATTCCACTGTCCACATCATGGACAAAAATGTTAAATAGCATCAGTGCCAGCACCGATCCCTGAGGAACACCACTCATAACTGATCTCCACTTGGGCATTGAGCCACTGACCACAATTCTCTGAGAGTGATCATCATCACTGACAAACAGTTACAAGAATTATTTTCCCACTGGTCTATCTGATATCCAGCTGCTGTAGCTACTGGTACCTACGATATATAGTATGATTAACTAGAAGAGAAAAAAATGCTGCTAAGGAATGAAGATAATAATGAAAAAATTTACTATTGTCTTAAGCTCAATTACTTCCTCTTTAATAACTTCATTTTGATGTGATATCAAAATGATGTGATGTGATGTTGTATACGACAGCCAGATAAGAAAATATTATTTGCATTCCTCTTTCCACAATGAAAACTACAGCATGAATCTTCTACTGGCAAGACCTCCCTAGCTATCTCTAAAAAGAAAAGCAGAAAACTGTAAAATAACCCCAAAAAACACTAAACCTCCAGACACATTAAAAGACCGTACTCAAAACAGAAACATAGTTATATACACTGTATGTAACAAATAAATTTATTTTTAAAATTAAATGCATACTAGAGCGCAAAGTTATGGAATTATTAGGCATTTTAATACAATACAATGTCAGGCTTCACCAAACAAAGCCACATGATTTTCATACTGCATTGCATAGTTTCCTTCTATATTATGTAGTAATTTAGTTTCTTTTTTCATTATGTAAATTAAATGCATACTACTTTATGTACTATTGACTTTTCACTTTTATAGAGAATATTAACTTTAAGGCTTGAAAGCTTTGAACTGAGACTCAGGTTTTTAATGATCATCTTGTATTTCAGTAAGTACACAATAATTTCTTCAACAGAAAAAAATGCTGTCTCATACTGTTGGATGTATTCTGGATGAAAGGAATCCCTGTATTAGACATATATACCAGAAGCAAATTACACTGTCTTTTGACACCTCTACAAAAGATCAATGTACCAGAAAAAAAAAAGAAAAAAAAAAATATCTATTTTTCTTCTTAAGAAGGCAGGTTTGGAGTGATTTATGCAAGTATGAAATGTTTCTGCAAAAATTTAATCAGATTGTCAATCTGATTGAGGTAATATGGAATCCAATTAAATGGAGACCTCAGAATCCACTCAACATTGACCACTTACAGAAAGCCACCCTGAATTGTGGATATTATACATTCTTAGCATCAAGCCAGCATCAAAGATATGGTATGAGTAAGGTATAAGGTATGAATCTAATCAGTCATGATAAGAAATAGTGAGAAATATGAGCTGATATCTTGAAAGGTGTTCCTGTGCTGCTAAATGTGCTAAGATATATCAGTTTTTCAACGTAACCAAATCCCAAAGTAGAACATAAAATATAATACATTAAAAAAAACTGAACAGGTGACAAACTAATATCAGTCAAAATGTATTTAAGTTTTGAGATTGCTTCTAAACTTATATAAGCAACATAAGGAAAACAATGGTGTAATTTTGAGAGGCACTGTCAAAAATTAAAACCTCATTTTAAAAGGAACGTACTCTGAGTAGCAGCCCTTGAAAAGGTGGGTTTTTCAGAACGTACTGTCTATCAACTCTGACCAAAAAGATTTCATTGTGTATGAGTATAATACTGAAATGTTAGAATAATTTAGATTGCTATGTTCTCTGAAATACTAGCAAGAACACTCGGATGGCTTAAAATAATCTTTTTTGCACAAATGATACTCTTCTAGGAAAAATAAAATATGACTTCCAGAGCATTTACTTCTGTCTCTGTTGTATTATTTTTTTTGCGCTTTTAATATGCAAAATTTTCCTGGAATACTTTTTCTGGGGGATGGGTTCAGAAGGAGAGAGAAAAAAATTTATTTCTGTAGGAATGAGGAACAATTTCTCCAATTTAATTATCTAATTGCTCATCACTTTACATCAAAATTGCAAGTGAATTTATACTACGCTTTTTCCACTTGTATTGATAATCTTA